GCTAAATCTGAAGTGGGAGAGGGGGCTTTAACCGTGAGAGAAGCACCATTTTGAAAGGGTTATAAGGTAGGAGAAGCAGAAAGTGTCAATTGTGAGCCCACTTCTCTGTCTTTCTACCCTTCACAAAAGAGCTTTTTTCTTCACACACACTCGTTTCAGATGGTGAAACTTGCTGAACAGCTTCAGCGTGTTGGTTTCGATATGTCACAGCTTGAAGGCGGAGCTTCGAAGTTGCAAGATGCCAAGGTAAGTGGGATTTCCCCCGTGAATTATTCGTCTATTCGCTTTTATCTGCAACCGTATATTTATAAACACGGTCGCACATAGACTTCGATGAAAGGTTATTCAATCTGGATGTAGAGTCGCGTATCCGGGTGTACCTGAAGGTGATACTTGCTCACCAAGTGAAAATTCCGACTATGACGGAACAGTTCGTGTCACATCGAAAAAGGTAAAAGAACACGTAGCGAGCGGGGGATAAACTTTTCCAAAGGCAAGGGACTCCAAGGTGGGCGAGCCAAATTTCATATGGAACGCTGTGTAGTCGAGAAAGCGCAGAGAAGGATCCAAATTAAGGCGATCGAAGGGCTTGGGTTTAGTTAGTTCGCAGACCAGACCAACTCACAATATTTCCCTAGGTCGCGTTCATACTTTTCGTCTTCGCTTTGAGCGTTTTGGTCGAAAGGTAGGTATAGAAGTCGATCTAGCGTTTTGAAGGCTAGGTCGTTACCCACACATTTTCTTTTGCACAAAACACCGAATTTGCGATGAAAAGTATGGGCGCAGGTTCACTGCCCACAGAATGACCTGTGTGATCTGTTGCGTTGGCAGTATTTTCACGAGCAAATCAGATTTGAAAAAAATGTAGTAAAATGGAGGAAATTCTGCAAATGGCAAAAATAAATTGAGGGAATCCCATTTCCCCTTCTCCCACATCTTTAGCGAATTTCACCTTAAAGGCAGTTGGCACGATAAATCCCCAAGACGACTAGGATCAATACTCCTGGCAGGATAGAATTCCGCGACCCTGGGCAGGCGCTGCATAGCGGTTTCCCCGAGGAAGGTGCCCTTATAAGGGCCCTATCAAGCCACAACTTTACGCCCCCAACGCCCGCCCGCCCACAAATGGACGACCGTTCCTGACGCTCGTATTCATTCATTTGCTAAGCAAATTATGAAGCGAAGGGATTGGTATGAAGCGGCCGTGATGCTGCATGCGTACACAATGAAATAACCTGCAGCCGTGTCTTCGGTAGCAGTGATTGATAAAATGCCTACGGGAAACTCGTCCGAAATCGATTTACAAACTGAGAACGGAGGCTTTTTCTTCGCAGGATTTTGACCGTTTCACTCCGTTCTTTTGCGGTCCATTTCCCCACTACATAGCGCCCTACTAGCATCTTAGGCTAACAAGGGAATGGTTTGAACTTCCCACGGAACTTCGAATGGAGACCTAGGTACATCGATAGAGCCTCGAAGTTATATGACGCGTCCCAGACGAGATTCTGGGTGGCAAACTCGTCAAAGTCAGTTTGGCTCGTAAGCGCTGCTGATCGATGTCTCGGCAATGCGACCTGGCCTCGTGGTAAAGGTCTCGCTTTCAAACGTCAAACGCACGCGGGTTTGCATCCGGTTGGCGCGAAAATTTTTGCTTCGCTCCCTATAAGAGCTTTAACTCTAATTTTCGAAATTCTTCCGAGTTTACGGCCCAGCAGGGCAAGTAGATCAAGTATAGGACGTACTCGATCTAGTATTGTGGTCATATCTGCCCTCTCTGAACATGTTACCCATCCGACAATTCAAAGTTTTGCCCAGAATCACAATTTGGCCACAAGCGTTTTTTTTTGTCGAAGGATGTGATATTCGTGTTCAGGAGGTCGAAATCTCCCATGAACGAGTTTCTCGCCAAAACTTTGAATTGGGATGAGTAATATGTTCAGGAAAGGCAGATATGACCAAATCCATACTAGATCGAGTACATAATATACTTGATGTACTTGATCTACTTGCCCTGCTTGGCCGTAAGCTCGAAAGAAATTCGAAAATTAGAGTTAAAGCTCTTATAGGGAGCGAAGCAAAATTTTCGCGTGCCATAACACGCGTTGCAAACAGCCGCGTGCGTTTGAAACTTGAAACGAGACCAATTACCGACGAGGCACGGTGCACTGCGATACATCGATCAGAAGCTGCTTACGAAGCCAAAACTCGTAGTTTCGCAACTTTGCCTTCCAGATTCTCGTTGGGAGTCCCCGTAGCACTATCTAATGCTTGCATATTCGTAATCCAGCATTTGAGGCTTTCTATCGATGTAGGCCTAGGTTCTTTCGAAGTTCCATGGGAATTTCAACCATTCCTTGTAATAGGTAAACCATCGGGCCAAATTCGCCTTCAAGCGACAGGCTAAAGCATTGTTGTGAAATGGGAAATTATTGCTTGGAATTGTTTGTATTTCGTTCGTGTTTCCACCGATATGGTGCCAGTGTTTTTCTCCACACCTTCCCCTGGTCCCTCCAAACACTTGGCCATTCGCCTCAGGCCTCCCTTCCTTTTCCTCTCCGCCTCCGAGAATGGAGGGCGAAGCAACGCAGGGTATAATGCATTCATTTCTTTCTCCTTATTGATTGATTACGTCGCGGTTACCTCTTATTGAGCTTTCAGAACAACAAAACTTCGCTTTCTGGAGGACGCAACCCGTGCCACAGTTTGGTAAGTGTTTTCAATAGCCATCTGTCCTGACCTGAAGAACTTGTTGTTTTTGTTCCAGACGAAGAAAAACCAACGAATGAAAACACTTTCATTGAACCCGATCTAACCTCCTGAAAAGGTGACTTTTTTTCGAGGAGATAACTTTTTACTTCTTGAAGAACCAACACTTTCAGATTCGTACATGAACGTATTCTTTAGCCGAACCACGCCTTTCCTTTTTATATGGAGCGACGTAGATTTGAATGATGAAAAACAATTACAGGTATGACTGTTCATAGTTCGCGTTCTGCGTCAACTTAGCTTGACCCACACTCCCTTTTTTCCTTCAAACTCATGTTTTCGCTTGTTAAATTGCAGGAGTTGTACACCTTACTGACGGAGAACTATGTCGAAGATGACGATAACATGTTTCGTTTTGACTACTCAGCAGCGTTTTTGAAATGGTGGGTTTCATACGTCGATAACTTCGTATGCTGAAGGGGGGCCGCGCACTTACTCAGTTTAAGTGATCTCTGGGTCCTCTCGGGAGGGCTAAAGGGCTTAGAAGGAGCGCTGGCGGACCAGTGGTACGCGTGCCGCCTAGATGTCACCCCTTCTGCGCTGTCGCCTGATTCTCTTTCAGCGGCGCAGCTCCTTTTTCTCCGAGCCTGTTAAAAACACACGATTGCAGCTCATTTTTACTCTGACTGTAGTCACATTCGCGTTCATAATGCTGTCACAAGAATGCTGATTACGAGCTGTACTGATTAATAGGAGAACTCGAACTCGTACTGGTGAGTGAACTAAAAACTTGTGAAGCTTTCAGCCTAGCAGTTCAGTATCGAAAGCGGCCAACCAGCCGATCACATTGGGTGTGTAGGTGCTGTGAAGCTAAATGTGACACGACTACCTTTCCAAGCACGGGGCTGTTCACCAAATGAGCATAGGATATGCTTAGAATGGCTTAAAAGCCATTAAGAGTACGTGCACCGTCTTTACTTGGTATGCAGAGAATTATGCTTGGACAAGCTATTCCTGCCCGCAAGTACAGAGGATACTTTCGGCGCTCAAAAATACGTAGTAATGACGCCACCCACTCTTGGTGAAGGAAATCTCTCGCCCACTGCTCCACACCACACTCAACGTCATTTACGGAGGCTTCCTGGTGTTTTTGTTCCAACATTAGCTCTCCATTCCTGATAGTGCGAGCTGGGTGACAAGGGCAAAGAGTTGATATCATCTGGTACTAATAAGTGAGAACTCGGCCAATCACGCTCCCTCATCGCTGTATGCTGCAAGCATCGATGGGCAAGGCGGTTCTATCCAGAGCATTTTCGAAGATTTTTCTGATTCTTCTCTCCACTACTGAGTTACCATTTCCTTGTCAAAATTTGTGTCTCTACCCATCACTTGGGATCGGAAAACGTATTTCAAGGAGAGTGAGTGGAAGGCGGCGTCAGTGCTGTAATGGATAGCGCACCCGGAAATTGTAAGGTGTGGGTTCGAATCCCGCCCGAGGTCAAGTCTTTTTCCACAACTCAGCGTTCTTGTGATAATCCTCGATAACGACAACTGAGGCAATGAACAACAGTCATCGTAGTATGACTAGTCTAAAAACTCCGTGATCCAGTTTGTTGTGGTTTGTTCACTTCCAGATAGTTTTAAGGTTCAGGATTTTCTCCGAGGTACGGTAACTAGCACTGTAAGCATTGCATTCAACGTGCATGCTTCTCAGATAATTTTTCCAGAGAGGAAGTTGCTTACAGGGCTGTTCAAATGCCTGGTTGGTTGCCACAATGGCATTGTGGAGTGAGAGCAAAGCAGAGTGGACGTCTACTGGCATTTATAGCAGCGGTTCCTCAAACGATTCGTGTCTATGATAAGGAACGTCCTATGGTGGAAATCAACTTTCTTTGCGTACACAAGAAATTAAGGTGAGGCAATTGAGCAACTTTAGGCTTGCTTACTATACGCTGGTAACCCTTTCGGCTGCTCTATATGACTTCCTAAAAACCATTTTTTAGATCAAAAAGGGTAGCTCCGGTGCTTATACGCGAAATTACTAGACGTGTAAATCAACAGAAAATCTTTCAAGCTGTATACACAGCAGGAGTTGTGTTGCCTAAACCGGTAGCAGTATGTAGGTATGGATCACTAGTATTTCATATGCTTCCAATCTAACTAGGTATGTGGTAGTTTCTCTGGTTCAGATATTGGCATCGTTCTCTGAATCCAAAGAAGCTTATCGATGTTAAATTTTCACATCTTTCGGCGAAAATGACGATGGCCCGCACGATTAAGTTATACAAACTTCCTGATGTAAGTTGGTATTTTGTTGCGTTGACTGGAGTGCTTTTAGAATTAAGGCAACACGCTCGTAAACTGAACTTCAGGCGCCGATAACCAGTGCCCTACGGCCACTAGAGAAGAAGGATGTTTCGTCGGCATGGAAGCTGTTATCGGAATATCTGAAGCAATTTTCACTAGCTCCCGTATTCACGAAGAAAGAATTTGAACACGTATTCACTCCAATTGAAGATGTTGTTTATACCTACGTAGTGGAGGTAAGTAATAGTTAATGGTAAACATTCGCCATAGGAAACATTTCCACCTAAAAACCTGGAGTGGCATAGCAATTTAAACAGAATAATCAACGATGCCGAGGTTACAACAAGAGAGAACTTGGAGAATATTCGCCATAGGATCATCTGAAGGACGTTTTGTGTAAAACTGGAAGTATCGTAATAGGAGACCCTTTTTGCGCATGGAAATCGGTTCACCTACCTGGAGCTAATTTATCTTAAGTTCAATACAAGTTCATACTTCGCGATTTGACCGCGATCCGATCGCTCGAGCGTTCGAGTGGTTGACGCTTGCGGTTGGTCAACGCCGTTTGCGGTAGTGCATATCGCGAATTATGAAGGCACCCTTGGGCACACTCCATATCCCGGACATGGAGTGGAGTGGCTGCGTACTTTATTCAAATAAAGCGGCCGCTGTGGCTCTGACCGGCTCTGTTCGTTTTAGGGCTTGTAATCACGTCTGTCGAGCACGAGGCGGATATGACACTTTTTTCGAATGGAAATATCCCACGAAAAACGCGGCCCAAGCCAAATTCAAATTAAGTGTGGAGCCACTCCCATTCCATCGCTAGGATATGAAGCGTAACAATCCTGAATCTAGTCCGAGTCGGCACTGATGTAGTTCGGTGAGGAACGCGCCGCAGCTCGCCTAGTCCCCTTCGTATAGCCAACGCTCAGGCTTAGCAGAGCGTATCTTAGTAGCAGAACATACGTGGTGGCTCAGTCGAGTGCCTCTCCCACTAACTACCCACCAGCACCTCCCAGGGAATCCTTCATATGCCTCAAACATATAGTGGCCGTTTTGTTTTTCCTCACAACTCTAGGTTGTACTGATTGCCATTTGCTCTCCACCTCTTCTTTTATCTCCACCTCCCAATTGTAATTAATCGACCTCCTTTTTCGTTGTCAGTTAATTCACTGCAAACCAAGAAGGCGCCATTAAAATAATGGTCCCATATTCCACAATTTCTGCTGGAACTCTGGAATGTCGTTTATACTCCATTGATAAGGACCTCGTTTTAGACAGGAGGAAAAGTGACGGATATGCTATCATTTTATTCGCTTCCATCATCAGTCATGCAACATCCGGTACATAAGAGTATTCGAGCAGTGTATTCGTTCTATAACGTCGCCACTACAGTTTCATTCAAGCAGCTCATGAATGACGCTTTGATTATCGCTCATAAAGTGAGTTTCCTGTCTCAGCTTGATTTTTCTTTGTTTTTCTGGTTATCACTTGGCCCAACTAGCCCACGCGACTGGCTGCTGTTAAACGCTTGAGGCCATAAAAAGGGTGAATGGTCTCCTTCTGGCTTTCCTTTTGCATATTTTTTTCTCCGATCTCATCTACGTAAATGATCCACGATGAATGAGAATGTTTGGAAAGCGAATGGAAGATTGGTAACTACAAATTAAAACCTGGGGAAAAAGATAGAAAAGCTGTTGCTATGTTTACAAAGTTTGCGGGCGCATTATCGGGTGCGTTTCTGCGACCATGCGAATAAATGCGTCTTGTACCTCAAAAATAGGGTGCTTGCCTGAGTCGATTGATATTTAATCAGTGATTACCTATTTCAGCTAGGCTTTGATGTGTTCAATGCATTGGATCTCATGCAAAACGCTTCAATCTTGGAAGACTTGAAATTCGGCATTGGAGATGGTAATCTGCAATACTATCTTTACAACTGGAGATGTCCGGATATGAAGCCCGAACAGATTGGGCTTGTTTTGCAATAGGCAAAGGTACGCTCTTCAGTTTTGAGTATAATGTATGTCATTACTCTTGCTCTGATGATCATTTGGCTGAAATGCTGGCTAGTTCAATATCCAAGGCCCACGAAGAATATATCCATATACAAAAGAAACATGCACAAAAACAGCCGAAACTGTCATGAATTCAGTGAAAAATATTTATGAGTGTTTTGCGAGAATACGTGGCATAAGGTTTCTATAATTAGATTGGTGGGAAAGTTCTGTCACTTTTTTCAAACCTATCATATAGCTATCGACCTAAGGACTGACTAAGTCCTTAGATCGATAGCGTCCAATCGATAATATCAGCCGTAATAGCCAAGGTAATGCTACTTCTAATAGTAATGCCCGCTTCATTTTTTACTCCCCTTTTACAGAATGGAGAACGAGTTTGTACCGGACCGTGAGCACCTGCGCCACCTCAGACTTTTTTCCTTCCACTGACAAAGTTAGACCGCACCCTGCATGAAGTGTCAAATCAGAGCTGGTAATATGGTTGGACATTCTCCCTCATCCTCCGTACAGCCCAGACCTTGCTCCTTCCGATTATTGGTTATTCTCCGACCTAACCGTTACCTGGATGGGAAGAAGTTCAAAACCCGCGCCCAGATCGAAGTCGAGTTGACATCGTATTTTGCCTCGCGCGAAGCTGAGTTCTGGAGGGATAGGTATCCATAAACTGCCTGGACGTTGGCAAGAAGTAGTCGAACACAACGGTGAATACAATTAGTCTTATATATTTCTCTAGAGTAATAAATATTCTTTTAAGAAAGTGACAGAACTTTCCTGCCAACCTAATATAAGGGTTACGCTAGATCAAACAGTGATGAGGCTGCATTCATACCCGTTATTGTTCGATAGCTGCTGTTTAACGTCGCAGTGCGCGATCCAAAAGTTATCACAAGCGTGCTGAGTTGTAGGCAGAAGTCGGACCACGGGCGAGATTAGAATCCGCATGAACGTTCAGTGCTTCTTTTCATAGCGAATTCCCAGGGTCCTTCAAGGAGAAAGTTTACAAATGTCTGCACCTTGCAAACATATTGTGGATGTCGGCGGAGGGTATGTGGCTGATTGAATAATCAGTTTGGGAATGAAATATTGAAAAATGTTTCTGAAATTATTGGCCAGCCTAGTCATGGTAGGCTATGGGAATGATGCGTAAAATAGTGGTGTCAGTATGGCCTTCCCCCGTCCCCCGATTTTCCTCATCTGCCACACCTTTCTCCATCTTACCTACCATCTTAGGTTTTCTACAAAAAATTTTCAGTTTCATCGAGAAAACTGCCGTCGAGAGCGGGGCGGAAGGGGGGTCGTCACCAGTCGACTACTGGTCTAGTTTCAAAGTTGGGGAGTGGGGGTTATAGTATAGCGCGCATGAAGGAGAAACCGAGAAAAGCCAACAGCCGAGCAAATTTTCTCACGGCTCGGGAAACATTTTTCTCAAAGGCGAAAACGCCCCCATCCCCCCCTCCCCCTCCTAGCGTCCTACCGCGACCTCCGATGTGATTCTGATGGGATTCTCCCAACGATGCCATACCCTGGATGTGATACAATTAGGAAACTTCAGCACTGAGGTTTTTACCTTTTCTCTACGTTCATTTTCAGAAGTTGTGCCGTCCATTTCTTCCTTGGCGGCACTCTAGTTACGTCACATTTGCTCACATTCATTTTCATTGTTATTGTGCCGTAAGTTGCTGTCTTGTTGTTGTTTCTTCTAGTATGTCATTGTGGAAAAGAGTCATTAATCTATGTGGTAGTTACACTTTATTTCTAAACCGTAACTCTATTTCTTATCCAATGTGATCTATGCACAGGACGCTGTTTTAATGATACTTGTTGATGAGTTTGATTTTTATGAAATTTACAGATAAAGTTTTGGCTTAGGTACCTACTGTACAACGGTGAAACTATGTTGATTTTGAGTTACATTCATTATTTAATTTCAGCATATTTGATGACTCTGTGCCAAAAAATGCAAAAAAAATGAGAGGTTGCCAAGTAGTGTACAAAGCTGGCAGCTGTTTCGGGACAGTATTACCTTTTATATCTCGTTGCTATCTAACAAAATTCTAATAAAAGAATAACTTGATAGGAATTCCTGGTCAGAAACAATGCTTGGTTTGACTAGGTCCTCCATCTGGCTATCTGCCAACCTGGCCCTTACTTTGGCAGCGGCATTTTTGTGAGGCATGATTTCCCATCGACAAGGATTGAACTCGTGGATGAGAGTGCCGACATGAGCCTTCAGTCGTATCCACTGGGCTATTCCTGCTCTAGGCGCCAGAAGCCAGAAGCTTTTGCGACCTTATCCTCCCAACAAACCTCTACCAAATAAGCGACCTCGAAGGAATGGAGGGCGTATGTGGTCCAGGCCGAGTCTGCTCCTGGGCCTGTTTCCTGGATCGTGCGAGTGATAAATAGTGCCTCTTGCCTCTGGCCAATATACCACCTCCGCCCAAATCATTCAAATTTCAGATGGGTCGCCCTTGATACACTGGCTTACCACCTTTGCCTTTTTCTGCCTTACTTTACTTCGTATGCTCCTTTTCTTCCACATACATATCGTTTTTTCCACCTTCACAGTTTTCTTTCTTTTTCAGTCGTTCCTTCTTCCAAACCTTTTTTCTGTTGAGCTACTTGCCTGTTGCTCGCTAACGCATTGCTTCCTTATTATTTTGATTATTTTGCGCTCTTCACTGATAATGACAGATAAAAGACGTCACTAAGAAAAGGTTATCAAACTCAGCAAGCTTCGCAGCAATAAGGGTGTTGACTAAGCAGCGGTATGGATAGGGAATGGATCGTGGTGAAAGGCAGTGAAAACAACTGAGTGTATCAAAGGTGTTAGAAAGCAACTAGATCGTACGACGTCGGAGTTTCTGGAAAAGCTTCCACCCTAGCAGGAGATAATGGAGATGGGTTTGGTAGATTGATGCTGGATGGAAGAAAGTGGGGAAAAAAGAGGCACTTTTGCATCCGCACTATAAAAGCTCAAGAGACGGGAAGGGGTCTAGACATTTACTTAGAAGCTTCGCAATCCTGGTATATTCTGAATTCGGTCGAAGGAAGTGCGTGGGATTCTAGCATTTGCGGCGATCGAGTCATGAAAAACAACCCACGAACAATAGAGAGGTTGCCCAAACAGCTGGATGGCTCATGTCTTCTATCCTTCTTCTACATCGCTTTTCCCGCTCCGTGGTGGGGTCCGCTCTTATTTTATCGCGTCATTTCTCTTGAGAGAATGCTTGATCGCTATGACTGCTAGCTATTTCTAAGTCCGCATACATGCCCAGCAAGCGTTGTTAGGGGCGATCCCAAGGCACCTTTCCGGGCTCAAGGCCAGTCTTACGGACGGTGTCAGATTTCACGTGCAATACATGACCATACCATCGTAGGCGAGTTTCGGACGATTGACCATCACGGGAGTTACACTGAAGGTCCTCGTTCAGAGCAGCGCGCAGAAGCGAGCAGGTCCCAGTGCCACCCTGTGGGGGAAGAATGCACACCAGCACGGCTCGTATATTGCAATATCAGGATGGTAATCTCTAGGAATCTGTAGACTCGGCTGTGGAATCTACCGCCTGAGGCCAACTCTGGTGTAGATCCTCTTGAGCTCGATGGCAATAATGGATGGTTTCACCCGTCCGAACAGTTTGGAGTCCTGCTCCTACTATCGAGGAGTATCTCACTGTAGAATCGACCAGGATCGACCTTCCCGAAATCTTGGCATTGATGTAACTTCTACCGATTGTGTAGGTTAAGCCGTCCAAGATTTTTATATTTATTGGCCGAACATTTTGGCTACTTCGCCTTCGTCAGGGCCTGAAGGAGTCTAGAACTGGATGAGATCTGTCCCCTCAAACGCCTTAACAAAACTTAAGACTATTTCGAGATCTTAGTAACCAACTAACGGTATCGATCGATAAAGGTGGGTAGGCATACCTTGGTCTGAGCCGCGGTGACTACCCAAGCTGTGGCACCGCTTACAGTGAGCTGCCACCTCCAACCCTCGACCCCGAACTCGACCTCTCATCTGTTCGAGGGAACAAATCTCATCTGTTTTTGGACTCTTTCAGGCCCTGACAAAGTTTCTGCCTTCCCCTCACCCTCCTCTATCGATGGATAATGAATGCCAAAAGTTAACAATGACTGAATATGGCAACATTTGCTGCACCCCTCACGACTAGTATAGCTTGAGTATGAGGCTTCAGAAGCTCAGCAACATTCCTATTCTTGAACCAGTAGCAGCGAAACCTGTTCGACCGCTGAACTTTCTGACATGCAAATCGTACCAGGGTACAGCGTCGTTGTGTGGATCCCACCGGAGGTCGGCGAGTTGCATTGGTCGCTTGGGGGACTAGGGTTCTCTCTGTAGTTGATCCGATGTGTATACTCCCTCCACCTCGTAGGAAACTTCACTCAATGGCCCACGTTTCGACGTGGTCTCCAGAGGCCAGTGTACCACCGTGAATCAGCGGATACTGGTCAGTAGCG